GAAGTTTAGCATCTCAACACCCACTGAAGTGCCAGAAGTCACTTTAGTGATCAGCTAAAATTAATAGCAGATGTAGTGCTGAATTTATTAGTTATTTCAAAGCCTCAACTCCTTGAAAATGTTTTTCAAGTGCATGCTTGATTCTAGTCCAATAGATAGTGAAATATTAAATTAACAGAGAGTTGACAAACAGCTGGTGATAAGGGATTACTCTTCATATTTGAAGCCTGTCCTCATATGCAGCCACCTTGCTTCTTATAAATGAAGTTGGGAAATACAGGCTTTGATTTTAAAAAGAAAAGGCATTTTAGTTGGTTTATAGGAGTAGATACGTTCTCTGAAGTACGAGTGACTCAAAGCTGGTCTATTAGCAGTAAGGGATATGTTCTGTTTAGTCATTAGTAAAATATACACAGACTGGGGGAGTAAACAGGAGGCTTGACAATGTCTCTGTCCCCAGGAAATTGGGTACACCCACATGAAGATAGCAGAAGGTGTGAACTCCCTGTTACAAATGGCTGGGCTGCTGGCCCGGCTGTGCCAGAAGACTGCAGCCCCTGCAGCCAGCTAGGCACCTCCTCGAGCCTTTGGGGAGGGAACCAGGTTTTGTTGTGAAAATCTTTCGTACTTTTTTATTTAGACCAATAAAGCTCTAAAATTTACTTTAACCCACAAAATTGTATGTGTTTTATAAGCAGGATAGAAGAGAGGACCGTGACAGTCCAGAGCAATTTACATCTGTCCATCAAAACTGCTTATATCCATGGTATTGAGACCTAAGCAGAAGAAACAAAAATGAATCCTGTTGTTAGGGATTACACTTCAAGCTTGGTCATAAGTGATCTTACCAAGAGCAAGAAGGAAATTTTTTTGCACAAAATACAGCACTTACTGAAGTTATAATTAAGACACATTGAGCAAGTGCTGCTTTGCCCTGTGGATGGGAAGGTATTTTCACCAAACATACAGAAGAAATATTACACATGTCTTAATGGTGCCACTATATTTTGGATATTCCTTTTGTAGTCTTTAAAAAGCTTTACTAAATTCTGGGATGCTCTGCATTTGAGTTCCTTTTCCTGTCCCTGCTTGTCCAGGTTAGGTAATGTCATAGTTTCAGCCTGCCAAAAAGCTGCACATTCGTGTTTGTCTCCAGTTTTGGAAACACCTTGCCAGTGTAGATGGGCAATTAAGTGTGAAATGCAGAGAAAGTAAATATAAATTGAATTTGCCCACCTAGTATGAGATGTGAGACTTGTGTCTCCAAGCAGATACATCTTAATATAATTCACAGAATCACAAGGTTGGAAGAGACCTTTAAGATCATCAAGTCTAACCCATGCCCCAAATAAAACAATGGCACTGAGTGTGTTTTTTTGAACACATCCAGGGACGGTGACTCCACTACCTCCCCAGGCAGCCATTCCAGAATTTTACCACCCTTTCTGTAAAAAACTTCTTCCTGATACCCAACCTGAATTTCCCTTGCTGCAGCTTGAGATGTGTGCTCTGGTTCTGTCAGTTCTACCTGGAGAATGAGCCCAACCCCACCTGAGCACAGCCACCTTTCAGGATCTGTAAGAGTGATAAGGTCACCTCTGAGTCTCCTTTTCTCCAGGCTGAGCACCCCCAGCTCCCTCAGTGGTTCCTCACAGGGTTTGTGTTCCCAGCCCCTCTCCAGCCTCGTTGCCTCCTCTGGACGTGCTCGAGCATCTCAACGTCCTTCCCAAACTGAGGGGCCAGAACTGGACCCAGCACTCGAGGTGGGACCTCAGCCGTGCCAAGGTCAGGGGCAGAATGACCTCCCTGCTCCTGCTGGCCACACCATTCCTGATCCAGGCCAGGAGCCATTGGCCTTCTTGGCCACCAGGGCACACTGCTGGCTCATGTTCAGCCAGCTGTGGCCACTACCCCCAGGTCCCTTTCTACCTGACACTGTCCAGCCACAGTGTCCCCAGCCTAGAGTGTTGCAGGGGGTTATTGTGGCCAAAGTGCAAGACTTGGCATTTGGATTTATTAAACTTCATCTTACTGGACTCTGCCCATCCATCCAGCTGTTCCAGGTCTCTCTGCAGAGCTCTCCTACCTTACCTACATGCTCCCCCCTTATTATCTGCAAATTTACTAATGAAAGACTCAATCCCCTCATCCATGTCATCAGTAAAAATATTGAACAGGACAGAGCACAGAGCCCTGAGGGACACCACTGGTGCCTGGCTGCCAGCTGGATGCAGCACCGCTCACCACCACTCTCTGGGCCAGCCATCCAGCCAGTTCCTAACCCAGCAAAGAGTGCTCCTGTCCCTGCTGTGGGCTGCAGCTTTTCCAGGGAATGCTGTGGGACACAGTGACAAAGGTCTTGCAGTTAAGCATGGTCTGGTTACAGCAGTTGCACAAAAGAGTGAAGAGGCACAGGTTGCTGGTGCTTGCACCCCACTCTGCCCATTTTGTTGATGATTTCCACCCCAAGTGTTCGGTTCCCCACTGCAGCAGTCTTGATGCCAAATGGATGTTACCTGGCAGCACCACTTGGCTTCAGCCTGGGGACTGGTCCAGCACTGAGGCCAGGGCTGGGCACACCCTCCCATTCTCTGACAAGCCAAAGGGGTCACAGCTTTCAGCAGCAAGAGCTGGTGGCATCATAACTTTCCCCTCAAGTCTTCCTGCAGCTCCTCTGGCAGAGCCTGCAGACATTTGTGATTCAGTGTGCAGGAGAGCAAGGAAGTTGGCAGCTGAAGTGCAGGGAATGCAGCAAACAGCACTTGGAATAATGGATGTAATGCTCAAAGTACATTCTTCACTAGATACGTATTGAACTTAAGCTTTGGTTCCCACCCAAAGTTACTATCAACCCAAACTATTAAATACACAACTAATAGTTTAGTACTGGGGCTTGAGCTGCTGAGTTCTCTACAGACACAGCATCACAGGTTTTGTCCCCAAAAATTTAAGTAAGGTTAAGTTTCCTTTGCCTGCACATCACAGCCAGCCTACTCTGTCTTTGCTTTCTCATTAAATGTGTTCATTGGAATGGGGAAGGGAGAGGTGTTACCATGGATGTTTCATAAACCAGAAAACACCATATTTGGATGACTCAAGGCCAGTCCTTACCTTGTGGGAAGTGCCTGCCCACAGTGGTGGTTCCAGTGGACAGGTGAGGAACATGAAGTGTCATGGTTCCTGTTCCTACCTGGTTTCAGAGGGTTTCTTCTCAACTGTATGCAGTAGCTGCATTTCACAGCTCCAGTTTGGAGCAGCCTCTCCTCTGGGCTAATCCTTTCCAGCTCTGCAGGGACATAATCACACTCACTTTTCCTAAGATGAGGGCTAGTATTGATCCCAGAGGCCACCAACACCTCCTGCTCTCCACAGGCATTTGTTCCCCCTCTGAGTGCAGAGCTGCTGCTTTCCAGCACTTGGCACAGACTCCCCAGCTCCATTTTCAGAGCTGCACCAGCCAGAACTACTTTTCTAAAGCACCTTAAATTGAAAACAGGAAGTGAATTTCTCACTTAACTGCCTACCTAAAGTGGGGAGAGGTGGACCCAGGGGAGATATAAATCTCCTTGCATTAGGTTCAAACAACAGTGTCTAACAATTCTGGCTGAGCACCAGAAACCCTTGCACACCTAAAGCCAGTCCCAAAAGGACAGCGTGTCAGTGAACACACACGTCTGTACTTACTCATTGCAGAGAAAAAGAGTGAGGTTGTTCAGAGCAAGACTAATAACAAACATTATTGATGAGAGTTCCTGAAACAGACCCTGGATACCTTCCAGTGTAACGAGATGAGTGGCTGAGAAGTGCTCCAGAAGCTTTACAAAGGATTTACGCCTCACTACAGCTGACTGCTCTGGAGAGCTGCAAAGGGGGATTTGCTCAGACCCCAGTAAGTGAAGGGAAGATTCTCCACATCCAGTTCTGCCCTGCCTGCTTTGCCTCCACAGCTTTCAAACTCAGGCTTTGGCAATGAAAGAACCTTTTACCAAGAAAGTCTAACTGGTGCAATCTGCCTCCCTGCTTAGTGAGGAGAACAATAAATCTTGTATTTTCATGTTTTGACCATGCACTGACCTAATGCCTAGAACTTCCTGGAAGGTCTCCAGCTGGATCTGTTGCTGTGTGCCAAGGATCTGTCACTGCTGCTAATCTGCCATTCATGAACGGCTCCGTTGGTTGGGAGATGAATCACCAGTGGGTAACATCATCAGACATCACCCACAACGAGCTCACCCTTGCAGTGAACAATCCACAGACTGCAGCACTTCATGGAAAGTGGAAGCTTCTTCAGGTGCTGAGGATGAATCCCAACAGTCTCATAGCTCTGTGAGGTCCAGACACAATTTCAGTGACAAAAGCACTCTTTCCTGCCTGGGAGCCTGTGCAGAGCCAGCACAGGCTGTCACTGTCTGTGCTGCTGGCTCATGGGTACCCTGCTGCCATGCACTGTGCAGACTTTTTGCAGAGCATTTGACCATCAGGAAACCTAAGGGTGTGAGGGGAAGCTGGGCTGGAGTGAGCAGAAAACCAGGCTGTAGCTCCCTGCCTGTGTGCATCCCTGCAGTGCACAAGATTTCCTCTGTTGTAAAAGTCCTTTGGAAACTTGTAGCATTTGTTGGAACCACTAGCAAACCTTCTCCTGAGCCCAACTCCAACCCACCCACCATTTCAGCTACACCAGTGGTGGGCACCTGTGGTCTCTCTTGGTGGTTCTGCTAAAATTAGAGCCAAGTCATTTGCAGCAGGAAGCACCTGACATCTCTTCTCCCACACCACAGCTCTCTAACCCTTAGCTCCCCTTCTCTGCTCACTCACCATGAGTGTGGGCTGTGTTCTTTCCTGAAACAGTTTTCTGATCTGATTTTAAGGAAGAAGGCTTTTAATGCATTTTTTTCCCCATAAGATCCTGCACATCACTCCATGTCACCTCACGTCCTCCCATTTCTATGTCACCTGATCATGCAGACATCTATCATTGCAAACCATAGCAAAACACCCCATTTTTCTTTGGAAGCTTTTCAGTTTTAATAAGTGTTCCAGAAGTGTCAGATCTGTACATCAGGGCTCAGGAAATAGGGATTCTGTTTCTGGGAAGATGTTCCAACAGCCATTTGAGGGACTGGTACAGTTTCTGAGGCTGGTGGCTGCGGATCTGACTCTCACAGTTGCTGCTGTTCTTTGTATCATCTTAAAACAGATACTGAAACATGAGGAAAACTGCCATAGACCAACACTGTGAATTACATGCCCATGGATAAGGCAGGCATTTAATCCTCTTTAGCTCTTGTGAACAGGTTGGAATCTCATTCAGCTCCAGACAACCACTGCTGTTATAAACACCACCTCTGCCTCGCCAGTTCCTCTCACATAGGAAACTGCTTCTATAGGAGAGCACAGGAACTAACTCAGAATGTAATCCCTATGCCTTAATACCATTGTGCATGAGTCACCCTGACAAATTAAGTAGCTGGCTGCATTACTGCTCAGCAAGTTAAGAATTCATTTCATGTCTGACAGGAGAAAATATTGCCCAGACTGGTCATCTTCGAGTGCACGTGCAGGAAAATGAGATTAGGATGAGGAGCCTGGGGCTTGCCCATGGTCTCTGGGGGCAGAGTGCTCTCTCCAGTCGCTGGTTTGCTGCTGGACTTCTGTGGGGCTTCAAGCAGTGTAGTTCTTCTTTCAGTGACACCCCTTCTATGTCACTGCAGGCATAGTTTGTAGAAGAGATTTCACTGAGGGATGGAAATCTCCTCTCTCCCTGTGTGCATGTTCGCTGGGTGCGCTCTTACAGCTCAGCAAAAGATTTCTTCAGTCTTTATGCAGAATACTTGAAATAAGAGGAGAAAAAACAGTGAGTCCACTGACTTTTAATCCCTGCTTTCAACTTTGCTGCCTGCTACATTTTCTTTCCAGAGACAAACAGTGACATATACTACAAAATGTCCATGTCTAAGCAGGAACCCCAGTCGTGCTCCTGGAGGAGGATCCCTGATCAGAGCAGGAGGCACAGGGGCACCAGGAGCCCATTTCTCAGTTCAGCCTCCCTTGGTGGAGAACTTCTGCTGGCATTTGTTGGTTGGACATTGAGATTTCAGAATATTACTCTGCTAGCAAATGCTACAACAGAGGCATCATTATAATGGCAAAAAGGTGCCTGGCAGCAAGATAGGGTCAGGTTTCTCAGGCTGGGTTTTTCCATGTCTAGCTACATCCAGCAGAAGCAAATGCCCTAGTGTGCAGAATAGGATGACTGTGCTTTGCATGGTGGGGATAAATCTTAAGTATTCTGCATGGCTTCAGAAAGATCCATTTTTGTGAGTCTGCCCACTGCTGGTGCTTACATTCTGGGAATATGAAACCCTATAAAACTAAAGCAGCTGGCACATGGCATAAAGACAATCCCAATGAGCCCCCATAGGGGCTCAAAATAAAAACCCAACAAGGAGAGCGATACTGGTCCCAATCCATCTCCCAGCTGGAGTCCTAGTCCAGTCTGGAGCAGGGTGTCCAGCACTGACCAGCACATCATTCACTGTCCCTCAGTGTCATGCAACCTTCCTGCAGCTCTCTGCAGTTTTTATATTTATCTACCTTGAGTAATTCTTTATCAGCAGCATCGGTCTGGTGGTGACAATGGGGCAGGATGTGTGGTCCTAGCACAGCAGGCAGGGCTCAGCTGAGGGAATCCCTGCTCAGAGCAGGGGCTCTGGGTGCCCACGGCATGGAGCAGTGCTGGCTCCAGCTGCTCCAGAGCACTTTGAAGTTCCTGTGCCTGTTGGAGGAGGGCAGTGCTGGAGCTGGGACATAGACTTGGACAAATTTGTCTCCATGATCCGTGTTAGTCACTTGGCACCAGCCAGAGATGAGGCACTGCACAGGGTGGGCTCCTCACACTCCTCCGTGCCCATGTGGGCTGCTGTGCTGGTGCTGCCAGCAAGGGCAGAGCTCCAGCTGAACTCCCTTTGGCATAAACCAAATCTTCCCACCCCGAAATAAACACCATAAACCAAATCCTTCCACCCTACCTTAGCACACCAACCATTTACTCTGTTTGTACCTTTGCTCTGACAGCAGGATCTGTGTTGATGTAGTCTGGCTCATCATCCAGGCTTTCTGTCACCGGGGCTGTGGGTGAGGGTGAAAAGCACTTATCAGTGAGAGGTGTAAAAATACAACGTAAAAACACACAGACCACTGACACACCGTGTGTCCTGCCAGTATTTAGCTTTTGCTGCTGACATGGTTTTGTGCCTGGGCTAAGAAAACTCAGATCAGCATCAAGGTCTCCTTGAAGAGGCTTCAAAATGATCACAGCAAATTTGCAAACACTGGGAAGCTCTTCAGAGCCAAAAAGGATTTAATCTAGAGAGTATGCAAACAGGAATCACTTTTCTTATACAACTTTCACACCAGAAACACAAAGCTCTTTAATATATGTGTACACTCCCCACTGTCCCCCAGGCCAGAACTACCCTCATGCCTCACAGGAAGCCACACGTTAAATTAAACTGTGGTTAAAAGGTCAGCTTGAGAAATAGGGCCCCTGACTATAGCAGGAGAGTCAAGGGCTGGCCCACTGGGTGTGTGCACAAAGTTCTGTGGCACAGGGGATTACACAGCTGTGCTTGCTCTGGGACAGCCTCAAGTGTAAGAAGATATAAGACCTGCAGAGCAACATTTTTCTGCAGCATCCCATGGTCAGGGTTTAGGCACAGCCACCCAAAAAGTGCTTTTTGAGTATGACAGACACCACGTCCCAACAGAGCAGCGTTCAGTTACAGGAGTGTGTTACAAGTTGCACATTGCCTTGGATATTTATCATGGACAATTGGGGGAAAAATGAACTCAAGACCCAGGTGATGGCTGTGTTGCCTTGCATGGTCTATACTGGCAGAGGGTTCCAGGCCAGTAAGTCCCAAAGAGCAAATAACAGCTGAGAACGTACCTTGCCCTTGCTGGAGTTTCCATGTGAGTACTGTCATGCTGTTCTCATAGTCTACAGCCTCATCTGTGACAAGAAAGGGTTTGGACAGGATGATACTGAGCAGCAAATGGACTAAAAAGGGCCTTTGTGGAACCCCCTCCCATCACTGCCCCCGGCTGCGCCCTGCACGTGGCTGAGCTTCCAGCCAGCCCAGATCTGCTGGTGCTGCCTCATCATTCCTCCAGCCCTGGCCATGCCCCTGGGTATCTGCAGGCATGGATGGGGATCAGACAGGTCCCTGCTGCTCCTGCCTCCTCTAATCACTCTGCACAAAGCCAGGCACGAGCAGGGCAGCTCCAGCAGTGCAGAAAGCGTGTGTTAGCTCACAGAAGGAAACAAAACTCACTTCCTATTTTGATTGCAACACCCCAGGACTGATGCTGGAAGCCCTGAAGGGACACTGTGGCCCAGTGTCATCCTCCAGAAGCTTCCTGGCTTCAGCCTTCTTGTGCTGGATTTGGTGAGAAACCTGAGCTGGGGGCAAGAACCTAGAACCATCCTGACTAAAACAACACTAACAACCTAAAGATGCAGACCCCAAAGCTCCTGAATTGCTGCAGAAACCACCAAGTCAAAAGCATCAGGGTGGAGATATCACCAGGTGCATATTCCTGCAGAAAGGGGAAATGTCCCAGGCCTGCTCTGTGCCTGCAGCAGCCCCTGTGTGCCAGCTCCATGGCACAGAGCTGGTAGGAAGAGCTGAGCTGTGATCAAGCAGGTTTCTCTTGGCTAAGGAGGTCACCATCCTTCCCTGCACTTTGTGTGACACACATGACCCGTGACAGCAGCACACTTACCTGGATCAGAGCCCTGAGACACTCCAATGGTCACATTTTCATAGGAATGGGAATCCTCATCTTTCTCTGATGGAGAGAAGAAAGAGGAGTGACAAAGGACCTATGGAAGTATAAGTGACCTGGGAAGATCCCTCAGCACCTGCAGGAGGGGGCTGTTTCCCACAAGGAGATGTAGTTTAGCTAAAAACTTGTTAGTCTTTGTGCCAGCCTGTGGTGACCAAGGGATGGAATCGGGTGGTCACTCCCACAGGAGCACAATCTCCAATGGTTTTGGGCTCTCCTGTTTATAGGCAACAGATGGACTGATAGGGGCCTGGACATCCCTCAAATCCCACAGCTCTGCTACACCCTTTTAATGGATGTGTCCCCTGGACCCACACGTGCTTCAGGCCATGTCGCTATAGAACACGAGAATGCACAACACGAGCTACTTGCCACTTTGCAAGGTAAAAGAGAGAGTTTATTTTCTGACTCCAACTTTTATATTTTTCCAAAGGTGACAGTGGATTGGAGAGTGAATGGGCCACCTCTCCAAAGACATTGGACAAACTACTAATATATTAAGTCTTTCCACCCCCATGAAGGAATGCAAAACATCACGTTATTTACAGAAACTGTGTGGGAAAGTTCCCCAGTAGAATGTAAACTCAGAAGGCTTAAGAAAACTCAAGAATCAGTGCGACAAGGCCGTACACAGTGATGCACAGACCTCAGCAAGAACAGTCTCACGAGCTCCCTGGAGCCACGGGACAACCAGGCTGGGTGAAGGAACCCACCTGGCTTGCCTGGAGATCTGCCACAGGGTGGTTTGAAGAGCCTGGTGCAATTGTAGTAGTGATCCAGAGACATGGGCTCCCTGTGAGGAGAGCAGCACTGTCAGCTCCTCCTGCCCAGCACAGGCTTCCCAGGCTGAGCCATGGGAGCACCAGGACAGCACTGGGACCAGTATGGCTCCACTGGACTGTGCTGGCAGCAGCACAGGGTACTTACACATAGGCAGTGTCTTCTTCCAGGCAGTTCTCTGCAGGAACAAGGGTTTGCTGTCAGCACCCCACCAAGGCATCAACCTGAACACCATCCCTGGGCACAGCTGGACATCCCCAGCACAACCACAGCTGACATCCCCAGCAGCCACAAAGCCCTGGCCCAGCCCCAAAGCCTGTCCACAGCTGAGCCAGGTGGCTGGAGCACAGGGAGGTAGCCCAAATCCACCCCAGGTCCTGGGAAAACCCCGGCTCACTGCTTCTCATGGACACATCCTGCCAGCTGGCAGGAGATGGGGAATATGCTCCCTGCCTTGGGAAAGGAGAGCACAGCCCCACACACACCAATAATCCTCTTAGGGCAAGCAGCAGCTCACACTGCCCCGGGAGGGAGCAGCGGGCTCGGGAGCATCTGACCCCTCCGCTCTGCCCATTAATCAGATCAGGGTGTGCCTTACAAAGCAAACTCTAAACTGACCGAGCCAGAGCTCTGCAGTGCTGCTGCCTGTGTGCTCCCTGCCAGCTGCAGTGCTGCTGCCTGTGTGCTCCCTGCCAGCTGCAGTGCTGTGCCTGTGTGCTCCCTGCCAGCTGCAGTGCTGTGCCTGTGTGCTCCCTGCCAGCTCCCATCCCCTGAGACCTCCCATCCCCTGGGCAGCCTCCCCTCCCACACCCCCAGGCACATGGCTGCAGCACTTACCTGCCAGGAAATTCTGGTACCTGGCCTGGTCCCTGCTCCCTGGGGACAAGAGAGGGGCACATTGCAGTGAACTCAAGCTGAGTGGTGGGAGCAGTTTGACAATGGAGGGAGGCACCAAGTATTTCAGCACCAGCAGCTCTACCCCTGCTCAGCTCTGAGGGTTGGACACTCCAGGGTACAGGAGCTGGGACAGCCAGGGGTGATATTTTAAACAATCTGTGCCTGTGGCTCTGACCAGGACGGGTCAGCCACAGCAGGATGAGCACTGGGTTTTAAACTCAGACCCAGGACAGACCCAAATTTAGATGGATGTGGACCTGCTGGAGCAGGTCCAGAGGAGAGCACAAAGATGCTCCAAGGGCTGAGCCCCTCTGCTCTGGAGACAGCCTGGGAAAGCTGGGGTTGTTCAACCTGGAAAAGAGAAGGCTCTGGGAGACCTTAGAGCCCCTTCTAAAGGAGAGAGGGACTTTGGACAAGGGCTGGGAGTGGCAGGACAAGGGGGTATGGCTTCCCACTGACAGAGGATTCATTAGGTGGGATATTGGGGAGACATTTTTCCCTGTGAGGGTGGTGAGGCCCTGGCTCAGGCTGCCCAGAGCAGCTGTGGCTGCCCCATCCCTGCAAGTGTCCAATGCCAGGTTGGATGGGGCTTGGAGCAACCTGGGATAGTGGAAGGTGTCCCTGCCCATGGAAGGGGATTGGAAGGAGATGTGGTTCATTGTATCTGTGCCTGTCCCAGAAGCTGCTCACCATATCCAGTGTGATGGGAAGCACTGAGCTCCTCGTTGGCTTTACTGAAAGAGAGAAAAGAGACCTAAAATCCATGGTCTGAGCAAACCCTACCAGCAGTTACACACCATCAGAAGGACCATGCATGGAACCTCCCTGCGAGGTTATCAAGTACACACACGGAACAAGGGGAGATTACGAATTTGGAGTAAAGTCCCAAAATGGGAATAACTATGCTTGAATATTGCTGCAGAGTTACAATGGCTGTGTAGTTACTGGGGATTTTGGTGGTGGGGAGAAGGGGATTTATCACACCAAACTGCTTATAAGTGAGTAATGGCCATTTCCTTTCCATGATGTGTCTGTTATGTACAGCCACAGCTCACTCTCCTGGGTTTGATTTAATCAGTTGCCAGAAGAATGCAATCATACTGAACAAAATCCAGAAAAAGTCTGAATATACTATTGACCATCAACAAGTGAAGCAACCCAATCAAGTTGAAGATGTCTCTGCTCCTCACCAGGTTGGACTAGATGACCTTGAAAGGTCCCTTGCAACTCAAACTATTCTTTGATTTTAAATACAGCCCAAGCCATATCTATAGGGCCCAGAATGCAATCCCAAATGTTCATGTATATTAGATGAACTTCATCCAGCCTTGGCTCTAGAACTAGATTTTATTTGGGTTTTTTTCCTACCTTGCTATTGATAACTTTTCAGGTTCCTTACTTTTTTCCAGCCTTCGGGTTGCAGCTGGAAACAACAACAAAATTATCATGTTAATTATTATGGCAGCAGCAGATATGTTAAAGAGCACAGAACATCCACCAGACAGGAATCCCTGGCAATGCATTTTCCTAATGCATCCTAAAATAGCTTCCAGATTGTTCCTTGAATGTTCAAAAATGGTCAAAACAAGAAATAACTAGAGAAAAAGGTGGTGTCTGTGCAGACCACAGAGCTTGCAAACACTCGCTGGAGGAAGCTACAGTCCCAGGCACTGCCTTGTCACCTACTGTCCCCCAAAGCCACTTGATTCGGGGGCCATTCCCCTCCCTCCACACTGCAAGGGGCAGTTGAGAGCTTTGGTCAGGCTGAGATGAAAGATTTGCAGAGGGGTGAAGGGGCTTGGAGCCAGCAGAGTCCTTGGGCAGGGCAGAGCCACCTGCAGCTGGACACACCACACACGGACCTGGCACAGCCATCTGCAGAGGGACACACCACACACAGACCTGGCAGTGCCATCTGCAGAGGGACACACCACACATGGACCTGGCAGAGCCATCTGCAGAGGGACACACCGCACACAGACCTGGCAGTGCCATCTGCAGAGGGACACACCGCACACGGACCTGGCACAGCCATCTGCAGAGGGACACACCACACACGGACCTGGCAGAGCCATCTGCAGAGGGACACACTGCACACGGACCTGGCACAGCCATCTGCAGAGGGACACATGACACACGGACCTGGCAGAACCATCTTCAGAGGGACACACCACACATGGACCTGGCAGAACCCTCTGCAGAGGGACACACCACACACGGACCTACAGCCGCTCCTTGCGGCATAAAACCCAAAAGTTCAGTGCTGAACCCAAGCTGCTGCAGGAAGCAGAGGGGGGATGATGGATGAGTCACTCCTGTCACCCACACCTTCATCCTCACAGGGTGCACAGCACGGGTCCAAGAGCCCCAGCAGCTGAGGTGTCACTTCTCAACGGCATCGCTTTGGTGAATCATTTTCAATGCAAAGGGCATTTTGTTTTTTACTAGAGCTCAGAATTCACACACCTAGAAGCATCTAAGGTGGCTTGGACAATCCAGGTCTCACCATTTCATGGCCTGGCTTCAAGGTGAGCCTTTGAACATTACTTTCTCCCTGTGCTATGCAGGCAGGGCCCTCACACCGCGAGGCAGGAGCCACATGCAATGCTCATACTCACCGGTATGGGATCGAATCACCTCAAATCTCTGCTGGCTTTCGAGCCTGGAAAAAACAGCAGGACAACCTCAGCTGAATTTTGGGGTTTATGACAAGGAAAACAGATACAAGAGACCTGGCTGTTTGGTGAGTGGAGGGCAGGGAGCACCATGCTGGGCTCTGTGAGATGCCAAGCTGCATTGCTCAGCATGTCATGCATGCAGGGCCTGGGTGACCTGGCAGCATCTTTCTGGACAATTCTTCGATCCTTTAAAGACAGGATGTGGTTTAGGACCACTGGCAGAGCAGCCAACATATGCAAGGGAAGGATCCAGGGATGAGGAAAACATTGTTTAGGATAATTCTCATTCTGATGCTTCAGCGACCAAAGGCCAGGAGAACCTTTTTACCCATGCATGGAATGGCTTCAAACCCCACCACTTCACCTCCACTGCAGCCTCTGCCCCTCCCATCATCCCTTAATATAAACATGACTAAAAGAATGTTATCAATGATAACCTACGCCCAGTGACATCTTTACTTTTTAGTTAATAAGAGAGCTGCTTCTTTTCAGAGCACAAGAGAATTCAACACATTTTCCACTGTGTTTCTACACAGGTACTTATTAATTCCAATTTTGGGAACCCTTTCCCCTTTTTTCATTGGGGTTGCCCCACACCCAGTGGGATTCATGGCCCAAGGCCATCAAAAAACCCAAAGATTCAAACCACACCTCCAGAAAGAGCACACAACACCACAAACCTGAGCCCAAACCACCTAATTCCGGTATAAATGTCAAGAAGTTGGGACAATTCAGCAAGAGTCCCTGAGGGATGGAGCCTGTGGGGACAGAGCCTGCAGTGCTGCTCCATTAGTCTACAATGGATCACTCCAGAGCCTTTCCCCACACAAACAAACCCCAAACCCCTTGGAGGCCTCTGCAGAGCCACATTGCACGTGCTGTAACAAAGCTTACAATCCAACTTTGCTTTTTTAACATCATGTACTGTGGTTTGTCTGTTGCTGAAGGAAATAAGGGGCAGTGCATGTGTGTACACTGCATTTCCTTCATTTCTTGTGCTGTAGGTCAGTGCTTGATCTGCTACATGGTCCAACCAGCACCAGCCAAGGGCAGGGGCTTCTTTATGAAGTAAATAATCTTTCCATCTCATTTCAGGGCACAACAGAACAGGATAAGAACTTGCCCTTCTCTCCCAGACCTTTTCCACTAGTTAATGATTCAACGACATCACAGTCAGCTTCAGTTTCATTTTGGATTATTCTCTGTAAAGGCATTGCCCCTTCAGCAGCACCTTGGGCTGGGGCACGCTGCCTTGCATCCCATCCTGGCATTATTTTATTTTATTTTATTTTATTTTATTTTATTTTATTTTATTTTATTTTATTTTATTTTATTTTATTTTATTTTATTTTATTTTATTTTATTTTATTTTATTTTATTTTATTTTATTTTATTTTATTTTATTTTATATAAACCCGGATTTCAGCTTGGGTCTGGCTCTGGGGCTCACCCTGGGTGAGTTGTTTTGGGGAGAAACACGTTTGGGAAAAGCAACTTACTGGCTCCTCCGCTCATTCAGCTGTGTCTCCCGTTTGGTAGCTGGAAGACAAGGAAGAAAAAGCTCTTAGAAAGGATGATTTGGGAGTTAGAGGTCAGAAAGGCCAGTAAAACACATTTCCAAAACTTCTTCAGCACATGAGGACAGGGGAGGCAGTGAGCAGCAGTTGCAGGAGGGTTTTGATGAAATTTTTTGAAACTATGTTTAAATTGTGGTTTTTGTCTTAACCTCCACAAAGCACAGCAGCCAGTCCTGCCCCCAAACCCCAAACTGCAGCCCATTAAAACCCACCCAATGCTCAGGGAGGGGCTCAAACCCCACTGGGTGCTCTCCCTACTCTTTATATGAATTTATCCTCCAGACTCCCCTTCCTTGCCTGCCCTTCTGTCCCAAATCTGCAGGATTTGTCTGACTGGAGCTAGTGCTCCCAGGTGGAGCCCCAAAACCACCCAACAACATGACCACATAGAGGGACCTCAGTGTTACATCTGTCCCAGGGAAGGGGGGCTGCACTTTTAGGTCTCTGGCAGAGCCTCTCCCATGCTCCCGCTGTGGGATCATCCCTGTGGGAGCCTGTGAGCCTCCTGGGGAGAAAATAACAGCAATGCCCTGGAGAGATGCACTGCAGGCTCTGGGCACTCCTCACAGCTCAGGGTGAGGAAGGAGCCTTTCCACATGGTGCCCTGCAGCACTGTGTTAATTTATCCTGGTTTTCTCCTCCCCATTGGCCTTCCCTACCCTTTTCCCCTTCTATGTTCACATTCTAGAGAGTTCTCCCTTCCCTGTGTTCTCACTGGTTTGTGTAACCCTGCCCATCCACCCTGCCATTCCCTGGTGGTCCCTTCCCTGTATTTATACCCTGGACCCTCCTTTGTCTGTGTCTTTGGCCAGTGGACCCCTTCAGTGTTGAACCCTACTTTTATTTGTTAATAAATAATAAACTCTTGTTGGAACTCCATAAAATTAATAAACTAAAGCTAATAAACTCTTGGTGGAACTCCATGCCTGGACCCTCCCATATCTTCACTGTTGAGTTGCTTCATCTGTCTATCTGTCTGTCTGTGTGTGCTGTGCTCTCGTGGCTCCCACCCATTGGTGCTGCATGATGCTCTCAGTGAAGGTTGTGCCCACCACCACCACCACGGAGCACAACCATCCCCAGAAGGTTTCCTGGCTTTTTTCCTTCTTTTTTTTTTTTTTTTTCCCTTTAAAATGAAGGCAAGGCAGAGCTGAAGACACCTGACAACACTGCCCTAGTTTGTCCTGGTACCCAGCTGAGCAGAGCCAAACCCACACAGTGCAGGGGACATTCCAAGAGGGAAGGCCAGCCAGGGTGGTGGGCAGCTGTTTGCCCTGATTTTTGAAAGTGTTAAGTTTTCTTTTGTAGTTCTTTTGAAAGTTTTACGGTTCTCATAAAACTTCTTTAGACTTCTGATAATGTTTACAGATTTCTACCAGCGTTCTCACGCGCTGTCCATGTAAATAATGATTGTTTTGCGTTCTTTGTGGGAGGAGAGAATTGATGGACTGTTGGTTTGACACGTGTGGTTGGAGAGGTGGCAATTTCACCCTCCAATCCACTGTCACTTTTGGAATTCTATATATTGCGAGGTCAGAAATAAAACTGGGTCTTTTTCTCTCTTGAACTCACCAAGTTCTGTGTGCTCATTTCATGTCCGATAGCCACAGGCAGCACTCACCTGAGAGCTGGCACCCTCCAATCCACTGTCACTTTTGGAATTCTATATATTGCGAGGTCAGAAATGAAACTGTGTCTTTTTCTCTCTTGAACTCACCAAGTTCTGTGTATGAGGGCAGCACTTACCCGAGAGCTGGCACCTGAGGCAGAGGCTGACGGCCGCCCCGAGCAGCATCAGCGCCGCGGCCGCCCACAGCTCCGGCTGCACCATGGCCCGGCCAAATCCAGCCTGAAACACACGCCCAGGGGACCCTGTCAGCTGTGGGGGCTTGAGGACACCCCTCAGAGAGATTTAGCCCCAAAAGCCAGGTGCTGTTTGCACTCCCACCCCCAGGGAGGCTGCTGAGGGTGCAGAAGGGACTTTGGGCTGTAGCACAGGGCAGCAGAGGCGATGCCCTGTCCTGCACTGCTCTGAATTCCTCATTCCCAGTCCCCAAACCCACCCTGCTGCCATCAAACGCTGTCAGCAGACAGTCATTTTTTAATATCTAGAAGAGAGGGCAAAAGGGAGGCACAAGGCAATATTTAAACAGTCAAGACCTTTGCACAACGTGTTCTGGCTCTTTCCTGCAGCTCCCAGTGACTCCCAGTGTGAAATTCCCCACGTGTTTTTCTGAGCTGGCTCAGCCACCGGCTCTTCCCCTCCTTTCCATGACAGGCTTTTTTACAAACAGCAGCTAACATTTTTTAACAATCAGCACGATTTGGCTTCAACTTCTTCCTTTAAAATACAAAACATCCTACAAATATCACAGAAAGCAGCCTGCTGGCACTGAGATGGATCATTTAGCCCATTCCTATTCCCCTGGTTCAGATTTTCTTTAGTTACAGATTATTTTAATTTCTTTTTCTTTTCAATCAACTTTCTTTTTTCCCTTGAGATGGAGAAACTTCAACGTGCCAAAGGCTAGTACATCATCACTCTGGCTGGCAGGAAACTTTCCTGCTTCCTACCTCCAACCTCTCTTATTACAACTTTAGCCAGTATTAAATTGGTGAATGGAGGAGGAAAGATATATTATAGCATATAATAATTAAAATAAGTAAAAATAACAAAACAAATGCCAGTAGCAGACAATAGAAAGCATCAGCTTGATTCTGCCCTGCTCAGCACCTTCTGCCTCTGCTTGATTAAAGTGGAATAAACAACATTTCTCTGCCCAAACTCCGCAGAAGTTTGGAAGTTGCTCTGACAGCCCAAAAACCCAAAGCCTGCCATGGCAGCTGAGCCTGTGGGGGCTGAGCACCTTCCTCCTGTCCCTGCCAGGCACTTGGAGCAGCAGCTGAGCGTGTTGGTGGGAGCTTTGTGGTCCAGTCTGCATTGAAGTCTCAGCCCAGTGCCGTGGTTCTGGTTTATCAGGGCATGGTGAAAATAATCATGGTGTAAATCAGCATGGGGCAGGGAAAGGAGAGGAAGGAAAGTCCCTCATTTCCACTCAGACAGACCTTGAGCAAAGCCAGGAGCAATGGGTTGGTGTCAGCATCTTCTCAGTGGCTCCCAAACACCATCTGGCTGTCCAGAAGGGACCTCACCCTTTGCTGGAGAACAAACTGGGCTTATTCCTCTTGTGTTCCAGGTTCCCTGGGCCCTCAGGACCTGGCAGCTACCAGAACTCGCTCTACCATGGCTTTGCCTTTTACAGGCACCCAGAGGCCTCTCTTTCCCTGCACAGTTTTTTGCAGCACTTTCTGAGGAAGATGAGAGGTGTTATTCTTACTTTAATTGCCCAGACATCCATGCACCCACCCTAGAGGTGCAGGACCAGAACCCAAAAGAGCCTAGTCAAAACCATGTGGTTTTTCTCATCATTTTTCCTTTGCTCAGCATCCCCCATGGAAATCATGAGCTGTGGATCACGTCTAAAGCATCTCCAAGAGGCAGCTGAGGGAAGTTGGTCCAGTGCTGGTGACTAAAATACAAAGAGCTGCGATGCTGCTGCTTTGGGGGTTTCCTGGCTTTTTTTCTTTTTTTTTTTTTTTTTTTTTTTTTTTTTTTTTTTTTTTTCTCTTTAAAATGAAGGCAAGGCAGAGCTGAAGACACCTGACAACACTGACCTAGTTTGTCCTGTTGCATGGCAGGCCTCCTTCTCCTTTCCAGAGCCAGTTTTATTTTGGTCACGGGCAGTGAGGCAGCAAAACCTGTCTGCTCCTGAGCCCCCACTCACCAGGGACACAAAAAGTGGCATTTTGAGGGCTGATGAACAGGACATGGCGTGTCCCACCCCATCACATCTTTATGCCCCAAGAAAGCCCCCAAGTCACACACACACATCAGCCTGAATATCATTTGTGCTCCCCAAACACCCAAGTCAGTGGAAAATCCTTTCTTTTGGTACAAGCCCTGCTCTGGAAAGGAGCTGACAGAAGGAGGTGAGGAACAGATTTATGACAAGCAGAAGGCTGGAAGCACTTACTCACGGCTAGCAGGATATAAATAAAATGTTTGGAAGGCTGAATGTGCTTCCCTATGCTCTGCCTTGGGGAGTTGGAGAGCAGAACAGACAGACTCGAGGCACAGAGGTCTCTGCACAGTTCATGGATGGCCAGCCTGCTTCAAAATGCTAAACCCAAACTCGGGGAGAAAACAGGTTCCCATCCAGTTTAGGAGTGACACTTGGATTGTGTCACAATGCCCTGTTCTGCTCAAGCACCTCTCTCTTCTCCTTTTGCCTGTTTTTCCCCTTTTTGTGCTGAGGAAGCTGGTGGGACCAGGGCACACCCCGAGCACCGTGACCCCACAAATCCCTCAGGAGCAGCTGCTCCAGACAAGCAGTTCCTGGGACAGCATCACACTGTGGTCTGGTCTCCCCAAACAGGGGCTGCTCCTTCTCTGGCCTCAGATATTTTTAGCAATCAAGGAGACAGCTTTTTTCTTACTAAAAAAAATTTGGAAAAATTAATGAACTAGCAAAAATTTATCTACTCTGTGCCAGGTCTTGTCCTAATTTAAGGATTCACTCCAGTAACAAGGCTCAATATGAAGATCCAAAGGAAGGAGAGGTGGTTTTATCCAGGAAGACTAAAAGGTCTTCTGCTTTTAATTCCCCTGAAATGGAGAGTAAGAGGACATGGACACTCGCTGTCCATCTGTCCAAGAGCAGCACAACAAAGTGAGAAAAACTTTTGGATTGAAATAAGGCAATTCTGGCTTATAAAATGAGTGGATATAAGCTGGATATGCACAGGCTAGAAATAAAATTCCTAATGGATGGAAAGTTTGGAAGAACTTCCCAAAAGCAGCAGAAAAGGCACAAAGCTCACTAAAAAAACATGCAAGAACACTTAAAGTGAACTTTAACTTTTTGCTGAGAAACCAGGAGAGTGAGGAATGTGTTGGTGTGGCCTCAGCAATACCTGGTTTTCCATGAGATAATTTCTGATTAAGACATTTCAGCCCTTTGCAGATATCAAGCCCACCCCTGAGTTCACATTGCAAGATAAAGACTAAAATAAAGTATTTATATTATGTATTTAATGTATTTATATTATGTATTCTATCAATCAAAAAATGCCCAAAAGGCAAATATAAATCAGTCACTTTCTCTCCCCTGCAGTAAGTTTTGTGGCCTGCACCAGTTTGCAGTAAATTAATTCTAATTCAGGCTGGTAGGATGAGTCACTGCTATGAAATATGAAGTGGAGAGTGTATTTAAAGACTCACCATATGAAATTCAGCACACTGACTTGTTGAACAGATGCAATATTCAGCTTGAGTCAATGTCTCTAACGTGTCTAAGAAAAGCAGCTCCACTTTCTGCTTGCCTGTGTGGCACAGATTTGCCACAGAAAGTCCCATCAATTCAGAAATTAAAGTCTCAGACCAAGGAAGCTCCTGTGGCTGGAATTACTTCAATGACCAGCACTGAGCCTTCAGAAAAGCTCCTTTCCAGAGGTCTGCACATCTCATTTCCTACCAGATTTATGCCAGTGTCAGGCTTCTTAGGAAGGCTGCTGCCATAGAGTTAAAGTCTGGGGTTTTTATAGCTACTATTCAGGTAGATCAGGCTTTCATGCCAATAGATGCATTTCAGTAGAACATATGATAAAAAGGGAAAGTTAGAATTGATACACCAACTTTCACATAGATTATAACTTTGGAAAACGCTTTTTTAAAAACTTGGGTGGAAAATACAGTGCAAAACCCCAATCACACCAGGCATGGCAGCACAAGGAGATAACTCACAGACATATCTTGTATTTGTAACTGTTCCAGGAGCACTGAAGCCTCCCAGCATCATTCACCTCCACTGGGAGCCCCCATGTTAGCGATACAGGAAACCCCTGTGTAACTACGGACTCCAGAACCACGAAAATGAGCCAGTCTCATGCAAGATTATCCCCAAATTATCCTCTTCTGCTAAATTATCTGCCTCGTGGCCCGTCTTACACTGAACATTATTCACACAAGAGAAAACTGATGCAAAACCAACTCTCCTATCTAGAATTAGCTATTTCAAGCACTTACATGCAGTGAAAGAAATACATTCACATCCATGATGCCAGTCAGCTCTGAAATCAATGGAAAACCCAGGAAGTGTCGTTTGAATCAGCTATTTTTAAGGACTGGGCTTTGGAGGGGGAGCAGTGTGGGCTGCAGCAGTCCCAGAAGCCACAGGCAGGAGCCAGAAGAAGGACCATGCAGGGATGAGGGAAGCTCAGCACAGACTGAATCTTCCAGAATATTTTAGAAGATGTGAGTGCAGAAATAATGTAATTAAACCCACGCTTCCATCAGCAGATGGATGAGGAGATGTAAAGTACAGTACTGTAAAACAGGCAATCCAGGTTGTGTGGGATGAGCTCATCTTGGGTCCAGAGGGGTCTAAATGCTGCTGGGAAGAGAGAGGTGGAAATTCCTACCTTGGAGCTGGTGATGGCCAGGAGCAGCAGTGAGGAGGGAACACCCACCATGTTGCTCTTCAGAGAGGTTTTCAGGGATGACCTTGAACCTCTTTAAAGGCTCTCCAAGGTCTAAGGTGGGATCTCAGTGGGACACCCCACTGTCCCCACAGGAGCTCCAAACACCTCCGGGCGCTTTCCTCTGCCCATCCCTCCCTCCTCACCCACCTTACCCACGGCCTCAGCTGCTGTCCCTGAAGTGTCCCAGCTGCTCCAGCACCTCCAGCTGCCGGGGCTGGTTCCTCCAGGGCTCGTTGCAGTCGCTGGTTTCCTGCCCCTGTGAATCACCAGCCCCAACATCCGCTGCCCGGCCCGGCGGCCGCTCGCGGCTCTGCCTGCACGACCCCACTGGGGTCACTCTGTCTCCTGTGGGGAGAGGAAGAGGTTTGGGCAGCGTGGGACCACACACAGCACCGAGGCCACTTCCCTTGAGGGTCAGGTGCTGTTGGTGCCCCACAGAAGTTCCTTTTAGCAAAGAGCCTGCGCAGGAATAACGCTGCGCGCTGGAAGCAGCAGTGCCGCTGGGAAAATCTCAAAGCAGGCACAGCAAACTGCAATCCCTCCCTGGGTTTTTATGGAAAAGATGGTAACAAAGGCAGCAAAGTCACTGACCTCAGTCACTACTGCTAATGGCCAAAGCTGGAGATCCTGTCCAGTGCTGTAAGAATAAAAGCAGTTCTTATGTTTCAGCATAATTGGCACAATTTCACTGCACTCCTAAATAAAGTAATTCCTCACATTTTTTCGTGCTTGAATGGAATAAGGAGTGATCATGAAGTCCCTATTGGGAATTTCTGTATTGGCTTAAAGCCCTGTCACAGTCCATGTGTGGGATCCTGCTCCAGCACTAGGGAAGTCTGCACACACACATCGATGTGTGGCTGTGCAACAACAGTACAAAAGCCACGGGGTGCACGAGTTACAGCCATAAACAAAACATTTCACGCTGCTCTCACTGCAGTTCTACAAAGCCTCTCTCAATGTAAATTGTTCAGTAAAGGGAAATTTTGTTATATTTAAATTAGGGAAGCCACCTACACCCAGCTCTCTGTGCAAGAAGGTGACTCTTCATCATAAAAATGACTTAGGAGCTAACTGGTTACGATTTTTGCAACTCTGGGATGAAATCTAGCTATCAGGCTTTCAGAGGAAATATTACTTCAATAAGATAATTATCCACTGTATGTGCAAATAGACTTTCTCTCTTCCAATTCTAATCCGCGATGCAAAAATAATGCACCTTCCAGAGCCATTCCCAAACAAAATCCAGGTGCTGAAGCCTATCTTGAAATCAGTATAATCTGAACCAAAGATAAAAAGAGGCAGACTCACCTTTTAATTGCTCACATGGTTTCTGGGTGGTCTCTGTGTAAAGGGCATTACAAAATGTGAAATGTTTTTTTCACTGCCAAAGGAGTTGTTACAAAATTGGCATTTCTAGCAGAGGTCTTAGTGATTATAGTTTATTAACAGCTTTCTAGTAGGGTTTTTACATGTTCACACAAAAGCTGACAACAGAAGTTTTGCAAAAGAGTTCTTTATAGCAGAACTGATACTCAAAATATGCTGGAGACATTTAAAGTTCATCTTTTGTACCCAAAATGAATTTCATCAGGAACAGCCACTGCTAAAATGGTGCCACGTATTTGTTTACAGGTTCTCTGGTGGGTCTCAGCTTCAAGTGAGACTCAGTGCTGTGGTGTGGACATTACCCCTCAGGTAAAACCTGGCTTGGGAAACCAGGCTCTACCCTCCTGAAACCCCTCTGCCTCACTGAGACCCGCTGCTAGAAACAATTTCTGATTTGGCAAAAGGAGCAGCATGTTTTTATCAACTGCAGTTAACTTACAGAAACACCACATTATAATTTCACCGTTCGTGTTCTTTTCAAAGCTCATCCATTTCAACTTGGGATTGTTTTCCCCCTCTAACACAGTTCCTACTCCTCAGGAAGGTTCACCAATTAACCTAATCCACTTTTTCACCTTTTCATACAAAGCTGACAGGCTGCAGAGAGATCTCTTGTGTCCAGAAAACTCACTAGAACCCATCTTCTACCAGGCTCAGCTTACCCGGGCCCGGGAAGCCAAATGCCCTGAGGGCTGATTTACATTCACACAAAGGTGGGGGCTGCTCAAAGACCAGCTGACTTTACTTGAATCAGGTGTTGTGACTAACACTGATCAAAAATCAGTAGTGAAACAAGGACTGGAAAACAGGGTATCATCTAAACAGCTTCTTCTGCACAAACATACCCAATGCTGGAAGGTTTGAGAAAGCTCCAACACGTTTTCCAAGCTCCAACAGGCTCCAAGCTCACCAGCTTTGCAAGTCAAGCGTTGCTGTGCACCAGCACCAAGCCCCTCTTGCTTTGGGACAGAATGAGCATGTGTTTCATCCCAACCACTAATTGGGATTACAATGCATTCCATTTGTTTAGCAACATTTTCACAGCAGCTCTAACACAAGCCACATCTTGGAGGAAATTTTCTGATGTGCTGAAGTAGAGCTGGATAGTTTTGTATTCACCTAGAAACTTTTCTCTCTGCTGGAATGGAATGAGATTTTCCCCAGACAAAGGGGAAGTGCTGCCTCCTCCCCTGCCCCAGCTGCACGTTGGCTCTCTCTGAGCTGAAACCGAAAGCGGCTCCGTTCCTGCTGAAGGAAAATAAATGCTGCTACCACCCAGTGGAAAGCCATCTCACAGCCAGGATGCCTGGGTGCTTCACAAAACTTTGGCCAAGTAAACTTTGCAAAGACTAATCCCAAACATCCCTCTGGTACAAAGCTTCCCGTTCTTATCCTGCTGAGTTCATCCTTGTGGACACAATAATCCTTAAATTTGAAGACAAAAACCTAGAAGGTTTGAATGCTTTTATTTTAATTTTTATACAGCAATACAAATTATACAGATTTGTTACAGTACAGATTTTGCAGGGGTTTATAGAGGTACTTTGTGAGTTTTTGGTTTATTTAAAAGAAAGAGGCAGATCTCGGGAGCACGGTGACATGAACAAAACAATCTTGTGGTAGGAAGTAAATCCTGACCACAGGGAACACTAACCTGGCTGAAACCTACTGGGCAGAAAGGTGGTGGTAGCATTCCCAGCAATAACATCCCAAAAACATCAACCCTGGGATACTCTAGAGCTTTACACAGGAATTGGTGAGCACACAGGTAAGAAGGTTGTTTTTGTAACAGTGCTGAAAGTCCTCGAAGCCCTTGGATGTACTTTGCTGCAGAGGGGACAGAAATGAGGGAAGCTGATGTCACACTGAACCTGCTGCTGAGCAGGTGATGTCACGGAACAGAGAGGCTGCCACGATGGAAAAGGAAACCAGAAAATGCTTTAGTCACTCAAACAGGTACAGTGAGATGAGGAACATGATTTCAAATCTAATGCTGACACCACGTGCCCACCGAGACACCACCAGAACCTAATGGCTCATGCCTTGTGTCCACCTCAGGTTCCTGTGAGCACACACAGGAGAACAGCAGAGCTTCCCTGCAGGCCCTAATGCACAGGAGGGGGGCTGAACATGTAATGTCATCAAGGTATTGCTATTACTAATGTGCATCAGGCTTGGAGTCAAGTGTCTGGCACTGAAGGATTAAAGCCTTTCAGCAAGCAGGGTCAAAAATATGATTACACCATCCTAAATGCTTCTATTCAGTTTGGTTTAGTACTGCTACAGCAAGTGCTATCACGAACAACAGAATAAGTTACAGATTATATAAATAAAATGTATGCACCAAATCAAAGATGTCTCTCTGCCACTTTTAATATACTTTGTTCCTGCAGTAGCTAAGTGGCATTTAAGAGAAGGGAATCAACTACCAGATGAAAAAATTCCACTCTCAGCTCAAAATCAAATTCTTTTCCAGCCACAGAAACTCCCCTTTCTAAAAATTTAAGACAAGCAACACCAACTAAATTGCATCCCAAGAATCCATCCCAGGGAAGCCCTTGAGAAGTACAAAGGTAACTGTATATTCTACACTGGAACAGGCAAGCAGTCCCTTTCCTTCAGAGCCTTTGCACTCCACTGGTAGTGAAACACAGAAACCATCAGAATGTAAAACATCAACTTAACACAGATTTCAAGATGCTCAATGTCAACAGCTCCTCTCCTTTGCTCGTTGTGAGTGCAAATAACCACGAGACACCTTCTGTGCACAGAGAGGGGGTGGGGCTGGCACAGAAAACCTGTGACTACGCCTTGGAGCCAACCTGACACACAGAGCTGGTGTCCAAAACACACCCAGGGGAACAGGGGTTTCCAGCAAAGCCACTCCAAGCAGATCTGTCCAAAGCAGGCAGCAGGACAAGGGCTGCTCTGCAAGCTGCAACATGCCAGCACTCTGCTTGAAGAGGTTGCACATGTATTCCAAAATTTGCTGGCTTCAGTATTAAATCTTTCCTACAAATAGGAAGGGTTGCAATATTACAGGATTTGCTCTAAAATTCTCACAGTTTTATCATCTTTCCTGAAGACAAGTCAGCAGCGAGTACTACGGGCAGCAAATGCTTCTACTAGACAATGTACTGAAGTCAGGATTGAAACTATAACAGTGTTCTTAAGTCAGAAGTATCAGTATCATCCAAAACTGCCCTGGGACAGCAGCTTGGCCACAGTCATTATCAGCCACGGGACATCTGGAGAATTTCAGAAATCCAGTCAGCACTGGAGATTTATAGCAGACTGGTGAGCAAGTTGTTGCTGCTTTAGGAAGGCCAGTAAGCCACACTCGAGGGCAAGAATTTAATGTGACTCTACCATCACCAGCCCATTATTTGAGTGTGTGAATGCTCCTCCACCTCTTTCTCCAGCCACTAGAACAACCCTGACAGCCACAAGCACCAAGAGCCCTCTCAGAATTTGCTCCAGGTTTACACAGGCCAGCGAGTTGACAACACACCCGTGCCAGCACTGGGTGCTGCCCTGAGGACTGGGATGAGCTGTCCCAAGGGCATTCCTGGACTCAGGAGTTCAGTGGGGGTTGTTTTTTGGTGGTTGACAGCAGAGTTTTGCAGCACATTAAATGCTACTGTCCCCTGCTGCAGTGTCCAACAGCTGTTCCAGACTCCCACCTTCCCCACTTGCTGGAGTAACATGGAAAAGCACTTCCTACAGTAGCAAAGCAAACTCAGTTCCACTTCCAAAACCTGCCTGGTGCCTTCCTGCCTTTAGTTTTACATTTTTCTAAGTTTAAGCTGGAAGAAAGCACTGCACAGCTACCAGAAATAAATCAGTGAGAAGATGAATAACCACAAAGTGAATGATCCATTTGCTACACTGCTGGTACCTCCTCAGGCTGGGCTTTGCCATGCCAGGCTTAGCTTTCAGCAGCAGGTAAAGTTAAGCATCGCAGGTTAAACCTCAGCTGCTTTTCCTGGTAGGATGGGAAGAAAATAATCTTCCTTCCTCCTACAAAACTTAAATGCCACATCCACATATTAAATATAGTTGTGTTAACTGTTGACAAAGGCTGGTTTGATAAGCTCCTGTATAGGAAAAAGCTCATCCACTGATTTTTTGAAGGAAGGAAAGAAAAAGGACTGGAGGAGTCTGACCCTGAGCCACATAGGAAGCACAGTGTGGAATGGTCCAAAGAAACCAGGCAATGCATATGAAAACTCTTAAAAAAAAAAAAAAAAAACAAACCACAATGATTTTGGGATCAGGCTGCATTCGCTAGTGGGAAACCCTTAACCAAACCAGTATTAGCAGATACAGAAAAAGACATCTAGAACTAAGATGACCCATTTGCCACCTCTCTCATCAGGGCTCCTTTTCTCCGTGAGTGATGAAATCCCTGCTTCCAGCAGCACCAAACTGACAGAGCAGCTGTGTATAAGTGTGGCAGGAGCTGCAGGGGACCTGCTCTCACCCAGCCCTGCTCTTCCACGCTCCTCAGGGTGACACAGGACAGCCAGGTGCTGGCACACCCGGCTCCAGTGCAGGACTGGACTCTGCTCAAGCTGTGCTAAGAGCAGGTCTAAAGACAGGGTGGACCGAGTAGATGGAAGCAGGAACACTTTCCATCCTTTCAGGCTATGGAAAGCAGCAAAACCAGCAGGCAGGTCAGAGCTCATGTCCTCAATAAAAACATGGCTCTACCTCTTTCAACTTACCCTGCAGTACATGAAAGCACAGGCCAGCCACAGCCAGGGGCAGCAGCCTCCTTAACCATGATGCCCAGTGGGAAATGGGTCACTTGGAAAAGTTTGGAGGAAGTTGGCAGAACAGCAGCTGTTGATCCATTTTCTGTCTCAGCACAAAGCCCACATGACACTGCTCAGCACTCACACTGAAGGACACCCACTGGAGGAGCACAGCCTGATCAGCTGCAGGAATTCCAAATCCCACCTGGCAGCCTTAGCAATGCACTCAAGTGACACTGAAGTCACAGGACAAAGAAATTGGGCTCATTTCCACCCATAATTAATTTTTACTTCAGTGTTCCAGCACTCTTTAGATTAGATTCCTCCCCTTTATCTTTTCCTCTTCCCCCCCTTATCTTGTATCAGAATGGGACAAATTAACACAATATTTGTAAACTGAGGGGGGGAAAACATGGTAGAGTAGACTCAAATAAAGACCAATGTTAAATATTACTTAATTTTTTCTTTTATTTAAAAGATCATTCACAAAATACCATATCCATAAATTTATTTTGTTATGAAGCAGAATGTGCTAAGTGTTTGGAATTCTTTTTTTTCCTCCTTTGTTTTTACATTTAAAAGTCAACTGTCTTGACTAGAAGTGAGTTTTTATATGGGAATTTGTTCTTAAAATATTTTCCACATTGAAGATGTAAATAGATCAATTATTGGTTTGGAATACAACCACACAAATGCATGTCTGTCTTAAATTAAGTATTAGTGTTAGACAAATGGTTCTTATTTCAGAAGCAGATTAAGTGAAAGGCAGAAAGAAGGAAAGTAGTTCTGTAAATTGCTGGGACTCTGACTTACAATGGGAACCTTAGGGAAGAAATTCAACACTAGCAGTGGTGCTGGCAGTGGGGCAGCCATGCTTCCAACCTCCTCTTGTAAGTACTCTGGGGTGCTGGCTGGTTTATCTGAAGGCTCTCAGCACTGGCAATATGGGCCCAAGCTTTTCCCATACACTGGACATTGTCCAAACTTCAGTGTGGTAGAACCAGGTTTTGGTTTCAAAAATTAGTAATTTCTCCTTTTCCTTCAGCCTCCCCTCCCCTCCTCCCACACAACACTAACAAGAAACATTTCAAGGGAAGAGAGGTGTAGTAACAAGAAATGCTTTTTACCCAAACTTCCACATAAGAATCTATAGCAGAAAGATTTCTGATCTGCCCATTTTCAAGGTATTCTGAAAGCTGAGGTCCTAAAACTGTACCCCACTGGGCAAAGAAACACAGGGGATAGTGATGATCAAATACTGCATGGCAAAGTATACACTCCTTCAACAAAAATAAAAAAGTCAATTTTATTTGTAGAAACTTCATTTAAAAATTTACCAAACATGTAAAACCCAAAACAGTAAGCAGAAAGAGCCAGTGAGCAGTTGTGCTCAAACAGGCATGGCTTTGCAGCACTAACCTTGAGCTCAGAGTTGTAGTAGCATCATACCATATGGAAGTCAAGAGCCAGCAGGAAGAGGCTGCTGGCAGAGGCTTTATCCATACTGATTCCACCAGCTATTCACCAGGCTTGTCAGGCAAGGCATCCATTAAATTGATCCTTCCTGGCAACCCGTGTGAAAGG